TTAGTGTAATTTTTAAACCATCAAATCATATATTTGACAACTTCAAATTTCATGTGATTCGTCTTCGTTTGAACTTTTGACTCTCTGCCTTTTGTTTAATCCACCGACACCTGCCTCAAGCAAACCCACCATCATAATCACAACAACCTTAAAGATAAGAGTAGAACCGGACATAAATCAACCGAATTGAGCCAAAAGACAAGACAGGGGAGAAGATAAAGGAAGAAGGTGAGGCGTCAACTCAAACCATCTGGTGTAACCTTTTGGACAAATTTACTTGGGTCTCCTGGGAAGAAAATAGATTGGGTGGCCTGTGAGAGAGGAAAAGGGAGGCAGAAAAAGGACTTAGAGAGAAAAGTTGAAAAGCCACAAAAAGGGGGACATAGATTGGCGTCATCAAAAATAGGCCGGGAGAGGGAAAAAAAAATAAAAAAGTATGAAAGAGAATAAAAAGGAACTTTTTTTCTTCGTTAAATGAGTGGAAATTAGTTGCAGGTTGCAATTAATTGCCCATGGCAATGTGAAGCTGTCAACTAAAAATACATGTTATATATAGAACAAATTAACCAAAATTGTTTAATTGGGAGGGGTTTAGATTTTATTTCGGGTTAAATCTGATTAACTTGGCAATTGACACCAAATCTGGTCGAATTTAAATCAAATTCTGAAGATCTCTCCTCAAATATTGAATTACAAATTAACTAAATGAAATTAGGGGGATTTGAAAATCGGTACAATTTTTTAAACTAATTTAAAAAATAATACAACTCAAAAATTTATTTGGGGCGAAGTTCATATTTTTAAAAAATGACACTATTGCCACTCAATGTACAATAAATGGATGGAAACCTTTTTGCATTCCTTCCGTTTTTTTTTTGGCTGCAATCAAGTAATGAAAGGTAAAATAAGAGCATATTTTTTCTAACAATTTTTCTCTATCAGTGCTTATTTTCTATTACTCATATTACAACAACACAATTACACTAATCAATTACATTAATTAATTATTCATGCGTTCTAATAAACCAAACAGTTACATAAAACAATTATACAAAATTATAACACCAACTCAATTTGTCATTCAGTTGTTTACATAAATTAAATAGTTGTACCATTTAGTATCGCGACATCATTACACCATCATGCCTTAACAATTGCATGAAACTGTGATTGTTACACCAATTAAAAAATATTTACACCTATTAAAAAACAGTTAACACCCATTAAAAAAATAGTTACATCCATTAAAAAAACAAAGAAGTTCTTTTTTTTTCTACATTCCAACAGCTAACAATACATAATATCTAACAAAACAACTTGACCAATTCTCTTTTTTTTTTAAAAAAAAAAAACAGTTACACAAAATAATTACATAAAATTATGATATCAATCCAATTTGTCATTCAGTTACTTACATAAACTAAATAGTTACATCATTTAGTATCGTGACGTCGTTACACCATCATGTCTTAACAATTGCATGAGACTGTGATTGCTACACTCATTAAAAAAATAGTTACACCCATTAAAAAAAACAAAGAATTTCTTTTTTCTCTACAGCTCTTTTTATTTTTTAAGAAAAAAATTAGGATTTGATCAATCATTCATATATATATATATATATATATATATATATATATATATATATATATATATATATATATATATATATATATTGCACCGATACTCCTTCATGTTCATCTTTTAGCACAAACACTTCTGTTTTTGCTCTCTCTCGCTCTCTGTAAACTCCTATATTACCTTTTATTACTATTATTAATCTTTACATATTTGTTTCCTTAAATAACTACCAATTATAATTGCATAATATAAGGGAGGGTATTTAGATAAAAAAATTTCTAATTCATTTGAATTTTGTACCTAAACACAAAAAATTTTATAAAAATTGTACTTAATCGAGTAAACAACTTATTTATATATTTTTGCTCAAATAAGTCTAAAAAATTGTACGCACGTCTAAAAAACCCATAAAATTACCACATTACTAGTGAATAATTTTTCATATTTATTTGGCTAGTAGAGTTTTTTTGCCAATTTTTTTTGTCACATCTAGTTGCACATAGCTCGTGTATCCGTGTTGTATCTGTAATGGGAGATTTTAACGAAATCATACTAAGAAAATTCTAAAAATTAATACTTCTATGAAAAATATCAATAATATTATTTTAATCTAATTTGTTGACATAATTTATTACAACTATTAGATTGATTGCCTATTCTAACAAATATTATGACCTACTATCAATGCGCTATAATTTATTACAACTATTAGATTGACTGCCTATTCTAACAAATATTATGACCTACTATCAATGCGCTGGTTATAAATGACTAGGTCTATAAATTAGATTAAGAAATTATATTTAAGTAGCATTGCTCAAGTTCTCTGACTACCTTGTTCTTCCCATAGATGTTGTTGGTGGAATTTGGTTGTTTTGGATTGTGGTTTGTGTTTTGTAATATGGTGTGATATTTCTAAATATCATATTTTTTGTATTAGTTTGTTAGTTTTATAAAGTTATATTGCATTTTTAAAAAAAAACTGGTAAATGGGTCTAATAGTGATTTACCGTGTTAATCTGACCCTATCCAACACGACTCGTTTAAAATTAAACGGGATTAAACAAGTCGTGTCGTGTTACTCATTTACTAAACGGGTCGCGTTCATGTTAAGATTTTTTATCCGTTTATTAAACATGTAGTGTACGAGTCTACATATTTTTCACCCGTCACCCGTTTAACCTGACACATAACCGTTTAACCCGACACGTTTGACACCCCTAGTCTTAATCACTTTGAAAACTATCCATTTCACACGAAAAATTATTGGGTAAATATAACTCACATTCCCTGATATTTGATTTTATTACAAGAACACCCCTTCATATTTTAAAAATGACGCCGAACTCTCTTTACGTTTAAAACTTGTAACAGATTTCAGAATTATTGACAATCAAAGCTGAGGTCATCAATAATAATTACTAGAATACAAAAAATACTCTCCAAAATTAAGTTTAAAAATTCAAATATATGTTTTTATTACCCAATCTCTCATTTATTTTTTTAATCTATATATTTCATATATAGATTAAAATTTAACACTTACATGTTTAATTTCTTAATATATCATATTAATAAGTTGAATATTAAATTTTTTTATTTATTAAATAATATTTGGTATTATTAGTACAATTTTAAAAGTAATCAAAAAAAATTTAAATCTTAATAATTACCTATCCAATTAACCCATATGAATTTTATTTTTGTTTATTATTTATCTAATTACATAAATTTTTACTCCTGTTGTCCATCACTACTAGTTCCACCACCTACACTACCGCCTAAATCCAATCCAAACAAGGGATCCATTAACCAACGCCTCCAAACCTTGCTAGATCCACCACCAACACGACAACCGTGAACCATATCATAATAGTGCATCTGCACCTCACACCACCAACAAAGAGAGTGAAAGAGAGAGACAAACTAAAACCACAACCCATTGAAATCACCCTTGCCTCTATCACCACTAAAACCACCACCCAGACCAAACCCATCATTAACCACCTTTGTACATGATCTTTCTCCTCCATAGCATCGCTACCAACTTAATAACAAGCACCAACAATCATAACCACCACGACAACATAAACGCCCACCACCACCACCATAGAAATGCCTCAAATCTGAAAGACAAAGATAAGGGAGTTAGTGTTTCAAAATCATCCAATATCGCATCAGATCTGGGAGATAAAGAGAGAGGAGTTTATTCCATGACAGAGGTTAGGGTTTCAAAATCAACGATTGCACTACCTCCTAAAATGACTGTGTGGGATACACATAGAGATTGAGAGGAAGTTTGCATACAAAGAGAGAGAGGTAGGACATGGTGGTGACTATGAACGGTGGAGGTTGGGGGTGGTGTAGGTTGGGGGTGGTGTAGGTGAAGGGGGAAAATGGGTGGCTCTTAATTGTTGGGGCTTCAGGCATAAAGGGTTCTCTGTCATGGGTCACGAGTCATGGATGTTGACTTGGGCATGGGGCAATCAACTTGGAGGTATGCATGGATTTGATCAAATAATTGAGGATAAAATATTTTTTTAATAATACCGTTAACGTCGTTCACCTGTTGGGGTCTCAATGTTATTTTTAAATTATGTGGGGGTGTCCGTATAATAAAACTAAATGTCAAGTTATGTCAGTGATATTTACCCTAAATTATTTTGTGATGACTACGGAAACCCGTGACAAGGCATGAAAATGCAAATTCCTAGCACTTGTACATGTTTGACTGTTAATCACTTGTTTTTTTTTTATTCAAATGTGTAGACAATAACTCTGTGGAAATGTGCAATTTCTTTACTGTCTGACAACAGTGTTTATATGCCTTCATTAGAATTGTTTGTAGGCAAACTGGTGTATGCAAATTGGTGGTAGTAGTGCGTACAGTGGATTCAATGGTGGCAGTTTTCTATTCAACCTCTTCTATATGTGCTCATTATTTTGAGTCTGATTTAATTCGGTTTTGATTCACATTGGTACATAAGTTTGATTGTTATACAAATTTCAATTTAAATTTTGAGTCAACATGGTGGAGATAGTTGAAGGTTGTGACAATGACACTGGTGATTTAAATTGATATGTTAAAAATGTGTAATACGTTTTGTTTTAGTAAACAAGAGTCTCAAATCACACTAGGGTTTATGTGGTTATATTTAAGAGACATGGAGGTGAAATGCAACTAACTGATGGGATAAAGTTAAATTTATCCTTTCCTTAAGGGAATGGAAAAATAAATAAAGGAATACAATCCCCAAAAGAAGTATATAATGTCAATTACAAGAACCAAAATGAAATTAAAATAAAATCAACATCCAATTTCTATTATAATAGTACATCCAATTACTATTGGGATAAAGTTTCACTATTGTTGGTTGCTGAGTTGACCTCCAGATCCTCTCAAATAGTTCCATATTCCCTTAAAACCAATTCAAATAATCCCAATCCCACAAAAAATCATTATCAAGAGGCACATCCAAGTTCATTATATCATTTTCCATAACTTGAGAAGGATTGGCATCGTCTCCTGTGGATTTGTTTTCTGTAGAACTTGTTCTGATCACCATCATTGGAGGGTTTTGGTGAAATGTACTTGCCTTGTTAAGTTGATGAGGTCGGTGAAATGTTGCTTCATCTGTCATCACTCCTAAGAGTCGTCTGTCAAATGTTTTCAAGATTGTCGATTTTAAGTAGACTCGACACAAACTGAGCTCTTGTCTTAACTGCAGGATAAGAAATTCTGAAAATGATCATCCTAACCATTATCTCAAATTATGTAATGGTGATTGACAAATTACAAAATAGTAATGTTATTGTGACCTAAAAATCGGACCCAATTTAATAACATAACGATGTATCAAGCGATAGAATCTCAATGAAAAAGTCCATCAATTACAGTCTTAAGAATATTATTGAACCATGCCACTGTAATTAGGTCAATTTTTTAAATCTCAATGACATTATTCATTATAAAATACATGCGAACATGCATTTAACATTGGTGCAATGCATATATACAAGTAAAGCATGATGATAAGTATGAATTTAACTTAAGAAATGAACTAATAGATGAATTATTAATTATTAATCTTTCCCACTTATATATAAGGAGGTGGGATACGAATAATTCATCAGCACCAAGAAAAAGAGAGGAGCAAGATCTTCAAACTAAAATGTGAGTCTAATGATATGGGACATAAGTTACTTGGTCTTCAACAGTACGTGCAGAATTGGTGGGAATTTAAGTTGAGCCTGAGCTAAATTGTATCCTGAGAACAATGGTGCTGCACAAAAATAGGGACCTTAGAGATAATATCATTTAGTATTATGACGGGTGACAATACTCAAAAGCTTGAATGTAGCCCTAATTTTGTTTAAGAAAAAAAATCGGAGTTTGAACCATCCAGAGATGAGGAGGAGGAGATGAAGATGTTGTAATTCGAGTAGATATTATTTTGGGAGTTAAGTTCCTTAGTCAAAGCCACATGTAGGGTTAGGGTTTAAACCTAGAAACTCTAAAACTTGTCCTATAGATCGCCTATTTTACAGAAAATTCAATCCCACATATAAATTTAATTGTATCCAATTAAGGCAAACCTTTGGAGTTGCACTTGCTGACGAAGAAGCTTCTCCTGCAATGGATTTGTACTCATTCATCTTCCACTCGGTCTTTCTTCCGCCTGGAACTCTTCCTCTGTAGAAAACCATGCTTCTCTTCACTCCAATTATTTGATTATTCGAGTAAACATAGGTCGCAGAACCACTGGCTTTCCAATATCCGGTAGTTGTGAGCCGATTAGGTCTTCCTCCATGGGCTTCTCTCTCTTGCCGAGGAACGAAGAAAAACCACGGCTCAGGGTCTCCTTGACATAACTCTCCTGCAAATTCTGGCACCAAAACAATAGAGAAAAAATGCAGGGGAGTTGGCTTTCATGATCTTGGTAGAGTAGGTTATTCGGTTGTTTTTTATGGAGAATTAAAAAAAAAGATCTAAAGGTGGAATACAAAGATTGCAATCGAAGTGAGAAATAAATGTCTTCTAGCTTGAGAAGAGCAAAGAAAATTAAGCATACGTAAAGATGGTATAATCTGCTGCAGGCAAACAAGGGTTGTAAAAGAAAATGGTTAGGAAGAGATTGTCTTCAACATCTGCATACAAATCCATATTAAGAATGACTAAATCGCTATAACTTCAAACAAGACAACTGTGGTTAGACAATTATCATCACCAAGAAGAAGAAGAAAGGATATGAGAGATGAGTATTTTACTGACGTGGGAGGTCCCATGGATTGTACTTATAAATATCGACCACTGGTATTGTCAGGTCGAGGTCTTGTCTCCTTCCTTCAAGCTTATTCTGCAGATAGAATGAAACCAACTCTTCTTCTGTTGGGTAGAACCTAAAACCAGGTGGCCGATCTTCCATTACCTTTTCTCACTCTTGATTAGTCACACATAGGTATATATGTTTTGGATTTGGTTCACTATTTATGGAGGAGGGCATGGAGAGAGAAAAGATAGAGACGATTGAAATGAGAAAAGGCCGAGATTTTTGATATTGCGGCTACTCGGAAATTTCCATCTTGACGGTGGGAGAATATATCTTGTTCACTCCACTGTTACTTAGTTCCCGACTGGACAACCTCGTAGAATTACTTAAATCTTTTATCTTCCACTTAATTGGCAGTCTTCTCTTGTCAAAAGTCATGCCGTCCATCCAATTATTATATTATATTATATTATATTTATTTTTAAAGGAAATACTTTTTGAAACTAATTTAGTGATCTTCTCTAATAACATGATATATCATAATCATTGAATTGATTGCGAGTTCCAACTAATAGTAAAATTTATTGTCAATCTAATAATAAAAAATAATAAAATAAACAAATAAAACCACTAAATAAGGTCCTAGTAATATTGTCCCTTTTTCTCTAATCTATTTGTGACAAGTCACCTGCTATACATTTAGGTGAAACTCATTCCATACAAGTGGATCTTCTAGTGATTAATTAGAGGGAATCATGGAGAGTAACTCATAATCAAACCAATCCACTCATTTATCACCTCTACTTTACCTCATCCCTACCAGAGTAACTCTCGGATACCTATAATCATATACAAATTGGATTTTGTTAGTTGTGTAGTTATAATAGTAAATTTGCTATATAATACATTTAGCCCGATTTATAATAAATATATAATATATGACATATTTGGCTTGACTTGTGATATCAACTCTCTTGAGAGTATGAAAATAGGCCTATAGTATGGATGTTTGTTATAACAAATAAATAATTCGTATATGTATTTGAAAAAATCCAATAATAATAATGGATTAAATATGATTGAGAAACAAGATATTAGATACGATTAGATAAATTATAATCCAATTTAATATTTAATCTAATCATAATACGTTAACCAAACAAATTTACTATATCTTATTATAGGAACAAAAACTCAAATTAAGTATCAAAATAAGGTAATTTACAAACAAAATTATTAAAATCCGAACGGTATATGTTTGTGATGTCAGGGGCCATTGTGATTGGCCTCTTGTCATGCCCACTACAGTGTCAACTGGCAAGACCATCACCGATTTGGTATACCTTTTTCTTTTTTTTGTATCTTCATCGTAAATGTCATAGATTGTTCATTTGTTAGTTTATACTATTTGTTTGTCTTGCCCACCTTTTTAAGTGATTATAAAAGTATTTTTTATTAAAAGAAAATTTATTAATCAAAATAGAGTTATTAATCCTACTTTCAAAAAGTGTTATAATATAATAAATTAATTCATAAATACTATAATTTGATGATTTTATTTGTAAACTCATATTCCAGTACTTAATTCCAGAAAACCCAGTCCATGGGTCAGGCTGAAATTGACCACAGACTTTTGGGAATGGGCCTCTGTTCTTCATTCCAGTCAAGTACACATAGTTTGTCGTCATTGGTTTAAAAAGAATATACCCAAATCTGTGGGTTCACCCGGTTTTATGGTGTGAATCCGAATCTACAATTGCTGCGGGTGGATTCAACCCGTAACGCCGCGGTCCCAATCACTTTGGAAAAGTGTCCATTCCGCACAATAAATTATTTGGTAAATATCACTCGTTCCCTTGATATTTGATTTTATTACACGGACACCCCTTCATATTTTAAAAAAGACACCAAACTTATTTGACACTTAAACCTTGCAGCAGGCTTCAGAATTATTAATAATCAAAGCTGATGTCCTCAATAATAATTCATAGAATACCAAAAATATCTTCCAAAATTAAGTTTAAAAATTCAAATATATGTTTTTATTGCCCTACAAATTTACCTAACCTCTAATTTATTTTTTTTTAATTTATATATTTCATATATAGATTAAAATTTAACTCTTGCATGTTTAATTTCTTAATATATCATATTAATAAGTTAAATATTAAATTTTTTTAGAATAATATTTGGTATTTTTAGTACAATTTATAAAGTAATCAAAAATTTTTTAAATCTTAATAATTATCTATCCAATTATCCCATATTAATTTTATTTTTTTTTATTATTTACCTAATTCTATGAATTTTTACTCCAATCACCCATCACCACCGGTTCCACCACCTACACCACCGCCTGAACCCAATCCCAATAAGGGATCCATCACCCAACAACACCTCTAAACCTTGCCAGATCCACTACCAACACCACCGTCGTGAACCTTTATCGTAATAGTGCATCTGCCACCTAACACCACCAGCAAAGAGGGAGAAAGAGAGAGACAAACCAAAACTACATCCCATTAAAACCACCCCTACCTCCATCACCACTAAAACCAGCAACTAGATCAAACATATCATTAACCATCTCTGTACATTATCTTTCTTGTCCATAGCATCACCGCCAAGTTAGTAACATGCACCAACAATCATAACCTCCACGACAACATAAATGCCCACCACCACCACATAAACGTCTTAGATCTAAAAGACAAAGATCAGGGAGTTAAGGTTTCAAAATACTCACTACCGCATCAGATCTGGGAGACAAAGAGATGGGAGTTTATTCTAGAACAGAGGTTAGGATTTCAAAATCATCCACCATTGCAATACCTGCTAGAGTGACTGTGTGGGAGGCAAATAGAGATTAAGAGGATGTTTGCGTACACAGAGAGAGAGAGAGAGAGAGAGAGAGAGAGAGGTGGTTACTGCGAATGGTAGAGGTTGGGGGTGGTATGGATGAAGAGGGAAAAGGGGTGATTCTTAATTGTTGGGGCTTCGGGCATAAAGCGTTCTAGGTCATGGGTCACCAGTCACGGATGTTGACTTGGGAATGGGGCGATGGCTTTGGATCTGGGAATGGATTTGATCAATTAATTAAAGATAAAATAATTTTTTAATAAGATTATTAACGTTGTTCCCTTATTGGGGTCTCAGTGTTATTTTTAAAACATGAGGGAGTGTCCGTGTAATAAAACTAAATATCAAGGTATGTGAGTGATATTTACCCTAAATTATTTTGTGATGAATATGGAAATTCATGACAAGGTATGAAAACGCAAATTGCTAGTACTTGTACATGTTTGAGTGTTAATCACTTGATTTTTTTATTCAAAAGTGTAGATAATAAATCTACGGAAATGTGCAATTTCTTTGCTGTCTGACAACAGTGTTTATATGCCCTTCGTTAGAATTGTTTGTAGGGAAACTGGTATATGCAAATTAGAGGTAGTAGTGCGTACGGTGGATTCAATGGTGGCAATTTTCTATTCAACCTCTTCTATATGTGTTCATGATTTTGAGTCTGATTTAATTTGATTTTGATTCACATTGGTATATAAATTTGATCGTTATACAAATTTCAAATTAAATTTTAATTCGATTTTGAGTCAACATGGTGGAGATAGTTGAAGGTTGTGACAATGGTGCTGGTGATTTAAATTGATTTATTAAAAATGAGTAATAAGTTTCGTTTTAGTAAACAAGAGTCTCAAATCACACTAATGTTTATGTGGTTATACTTGAGAGACATGGAGGTGAAGTTAAATTTATCCTTTCCTTAAGGGAATACAATCCCCAAAAGAAGTATATAAAGTCAATTACAAGAACCAAAATGAAATCAAAATAAATTCAAAATCTAATTACTAAGTTGCATGAAGTCTCTGTCAATCAATGAAATACGCAAAGTCTTCTTCCTGAAATATAGTTTCACCATTGTTGTTGCTGAGTTGAACTCCAGATCCTCTCAAATAGTTCCATATTCCCTTAAAACCAATTCAAATAATCCCAATCCCACAAAAAATCATTATCAAGAGGCACGTCCAAGTTCATTATATCATTTTCCACAACTTGAGAAGGATTGGCATGGTCTCTTGTGGATTTGTTTTCTAGAGAACTTGTTCTGATCGCCATCATTGGAAGGTTTTGGTGAGATTTACTTTTCCTGTTAAGTTGACGAGGTCGGTGAACTACTATATCATCTGCCATCACTCTTGAGGGTCGTCTGTCAAATGTTCGCAAGACTGTCGATTTTAAGTAGATTCGACACAAACTGAGCTCTTGTCTTAACTGTAGGATAAGAAATTCTGAAAATGATTATCCTAAACATTATCTCAAATTATGTAATGGTGATTAACTAACTACAAAAGAGTAATGTTATTAAGACCTAAAAATCTGATCTAATTTGATAACATAATGATGTATCAAGTGATAAAATCC